AAGAGAGGTACTGAAGACGCGAAGCTGTTCCTTCCGAGTAGCTCTCGATTTCCGACAAGAGTGGCGGTACGGACGGAGCTAGCACGTCGTTTTCCTTAAGGAGAAGTAACAGATAGGGAAGAGTGCGTGAGACAGGGAGCCGCATGTGTGGCAACGCTGATCCAAACGGCACTGAGTGTGCCTGGCTGGGCTTTGCGAAGGCGAGCACCTTCACTTACTCACACGGGCGTCGATGATCCGGATAAAGTGGTCCTCCATCAGCCCGCCATGTGCGAGCACGGCTGGATCGTGTATGGCATCTCGAAGCGCCTCCACTGTAGGGTGCTGTGTGGCCTTGTTCTGCAACGTTGAGTGGTGATGGAGCGAGCATTGCGCAGTACGTGTGAGCATTCCTAGCCCAGCTGGCAGAGATGACGAAAGCTTCGGCTGAGTTCCTTCCCCATACCCGTGACTCGAAAGCAGAGGAGTCTACACGTCTCGAGCAGAGCTCAAGCTCGAGTGCTTCTCGAAAGGCGAAGCAACGCGTGCTGGTCTGCTCATCCTTCCTCTTGGCTTCTACTCACATCAAAAGCTCCCCTCACAGCGTCTCTCCACCAACCAACCCGTATGCGTCCCAGCGTCGGATTGGACACATTATCCTTGACACTAGCCGTCTCCACATTAAAAGCTCTGATGGCCAAGAAATGTCGCCTGAGATGAGCCGGGTAGAATCGCGCAGACAAGTTGGAAGGATGATCTCGCTGAGCTACCAATTGTGCGCAGGATTCTGCGGGTGTTAATTTGTGCTTGTGCTGGTCGAGTGGAGAGGATGAGGAGAGATGGACGGAGCAAGTGTGGCTCAAGAGACGTCGGGAGGGCGTGCGATGAGAAGCGAGAGCAGGCAAAGGCTTACGCTCAGCGCAGCCTATTCCCCTCCGAATGAAGGCGCTCGACCTGGGCATCGTCATCATGCGAACGGTCCACAGCCCAATTTACCTCGGTAAAGATACGATGGTTGTCTTGCAGGTAAAGATTGAGGGGATGGATATAGGAAAACGCGCGTCAAGCGTCCATGGAGTCAAGGGTCGTGAGTCAAGAGTCGTGAGTCAAGAGTCGTGAGTGTGACATTCATTTCAAGGCTCCAAGCAGCTAGTCCGACTCGGCATGAATTCGAACTTGACGGTAAGTTTGTCTGAGTTGCAGAATCTAAGGCGGAGCTTTGGAAACGCCTCCACTTGGATCAGTCACGTGCATATCAAGATTTCGACAAAGACCAGGCTCGGCTTTGCGCATTTGTCAGCAAGCAAAGCACAAGGAAGGAAGGGTGCTACTTACTCTCCCACTCACGACCAATCTTCTGATCGACTCGAGAGTGGCATCCAACTACATGGCAAACACAACTAAACCTCCACAAACGAGGCGGAAAAGTTAAAACGTGTATTTAGATCCTTCGAAAGAAGCATGTGTGTGTGGTGAGGTATCGAACAGGCCAAGAGACGAACGAGCCAAGCTGAGGATTAGCGGAAATTTCGATAAGTTTGGGCGCACAAAGCCCTACATGAACCATCCGCTTCTATCCTCTTTACGAGCTCTAGAAGCGTGCATAATGGCGAGGTAGCCCTTGAACAACCTAGCCGACTCCTGATCCTCGATGAAAGGGTAAGGAGCTCCGAGGGAATAAGCGGCCGCAAATCCGCTGACGATGCCCACTTCTTGGCAATTGACGAGCGTCCAAGCGCCAGCATAGGTGGTGTGATTAGCGCCATTGATGGACCACATCCAAGCCACCGTACCTCCATAATGCTGCCATCGATGACTTTGCTGCTTCCACCATTTCTCGAACAGCACCTTTTCAGGGTCCAACTCTTCCTTGGTCCAGCGCTTGCTGTCCGCCTTGTTGAGGAAGATGGTCTGGAAGACGTGTCGATCGATTGGAGGCTCCGGTTGCTCTTCCGTCGCCCAAGGACGAGGGGGCGTGGCCGCACTCTCGCCTGAAGGGATGCCCAATCGCTCGTGCGGAGGTGCGTCGGAAGGCTGCGTGCGCGCTCCGAGTCCCGTCGGTTGAATCTGCTTGAACTGCGGTTGATATACCGTCAAGTCAAAAGACATTTCGATGAGCGCAGGATCATCCTTGTATTCCTTGATCAAATAAAGAGGTTTCCAATTCTTCTTTGCAAAGTCGAAAGATTTCTGCGACTCTTCGTCTTTACGATTGGCATTGTACTTGTCGGTGTAGTGCACTTCGTAGTGCTTCTCCATGTACGCGAGATCGGTATGTGTGACGCTGACATCGTCGAGGTAGTACACGTTGCCCAGCACCTTGTTCTCCTTCCACGAAGGTCCATTGCCAGCCTTTAAAATCTTGAGTGCCGAATCAGCATCGCAAGCAAAGATGACTTCATCAAACACGCCTTCCACTTCTTGACCACCTTTGCCATCTTGATAAGTGACGAGAACGTTTCCTCCTTTGCGCTTCGCCTCCTTTGTCCCCCTAACAACGCTCTTCACCGGCGCATCCGTCTTGACCTCTACATTGCCGGTGCTCGTAATCACTTTCCTCCAGTTGCCATACATGCGCGCCAATTCAGGAAAGGCCATCATAGTAGGCACAGAAGCCAAAAGCGACTCCTCGCTGAATTCAAAGAGGCGCATCGAAGGATCCTTAAAGACGCGTTCCAAGATGGCAGTAGACACGTGCTTCGTCTCGTTTCCCGTGCCAAAGAAGAGCGCTACCAGTGGAAAGACCATGCGCTCGCCAAATTCGGGTGAAAAGCGAAAGATCTTCATGGTGGCGCTGATGGGAATGAGCGCAAAGATGGGCTCAAAAGTCTTGATGGTGTTCAGTGCGCGTCCAAACTGTCGTGTATATGCGTGCGAGGTCGGGGGCCGGGGGGCGCAAAGTGAGCAAAATGGAAGAGGGAGGGGGGGCGCACTCTGCAACCACTTGACCACCACTTGCACTTGCGCTCATATCCCTCACCTTTTTGATATCATCCCTGAAGCGATCGACAAGTTTGCTTGGGTAGAGGTTCGACCAGAACTCCTCCTCTCCTTTACCAAACGAGATTTGCAGGCCGACTTGCTGCGCCTTGAAACCCAGCACATCCTCCATCACCTTGAAGGTGTTGTGAAAAGCGGGGGAGATGCCCTGCACGCCTTCGTTGATGTACTCTGCGCCCAAGTCCAAAGCACTTCCTGTATTCGCATCACCGTTGGGCGAAGTTTCGTCCGCCTTTGAGGTGCGCGCAGCTGGTAATTGATGCGAGTAGGCTGAACCACCTACGCACGGACCCGCTTCCAGTACCGTCACTTTGAACTTTTCAGCAGCAGCTGCCAAGGAAAAGGAATAGGCGGATGCTAGACCTGAAACACCAGCTCCTACGATGGCTATGCGCTTGGGCGCAGTTGCATTCTTCGCCTTGCTCCCCGCCCCTTTGGTGCTGGCCGCTGCTGCCGCTGCACCCGGCAATGTGCTCGAACTGGGCGATGCGTCGGGCATGTTGGCAAGAGAGACGCCGTGTGGCTTGAGAGTCGACCTATAGGGCGATATATAGCTGTGTTTGATATAGGCAGAGTCAGTGTTTGCTAGAGAGGCAATCAGAAGAGCTGACCGCGTTGGCTGTGTGTACAGCAGCAGCAGCTTGATGATCCGCGTAAGCGAGAGCGGGCGAGATGGATCGGAGGATGCTGTTTGGCCTTTGCGTATGGTCAGGGTGATGGTGTCAAGTGGACGACGCACTCGCGTTGAGTACTGGCCTGACACTCGTAACGTATCGTTATATATGAGCAAAGCACCTCACGATTCATATCGTCAGCATCAAAGCTCCACACCGCTCTCTCAAAAAGTACTCGTAACTCCAATCCTCTGCACGGCACCGCATGTGTCAGCCACGATGGGGACCGCGCTTACCCAAGCAAGCGCGCGTCTACGCGCTCACACTCACCACTCCGCATCGAGCAAGCA